ACAGTCTGTGATGAATCATGTTTGGCTGTTGAAAAAAGAAAAAAGGGGAATTGTGGAGGAATTTTTAATACAGCTGTTTGTGGAAGAATTTCTAATACAGCAGGGGCATGATTTTGTGAGCCTGGAAGAATTTGCTGTATCAGCAGAGTATGAAACTAGCCACTGTTCCTCTTCAAAGCCCGGCTTGTCTTTGGCCTTGGGAATCTAAGGAAATGTATCTTGTTTAGGCATCCAAGGATGAGAAGACTGCAGAATGTAACTACCTGGTGCTTATAATGCATATAGGCTTAGTGTAATGCATAAAGATATAACATAATGAATAACCAATAGTAAAGTAAAAACTGCCACGTGAACAGTGATATTTAGCCAATCACATAAGGTATCTGTCCGCATGCACAGCTGCGTGAACAGTAGCTTAAAAGTATATAAGAATTAACTGAACTAATAATAAAAATAGTATGATATGTAAAATCATATTGGTTGTCATGTTGTTACTCAGCCCTGCTCCTGATTGGCTTTATTACAACACCACACCATAACGTTCCACCCCGTATTCCAAACCACTTCCCGTCACAATCATTGACCAGGTTGTGAACTGTCCTTGTGCAATAGAGTCCATTGGGTCCAGGCTCTGGATTTTCATCCACCGTGGCAGTCTCTCAGGGCAGAGGAGGTGTCACAGGGTTCCTTGGAGTTCATGCTCTTGTTCTGCAGGTTCTTCTTGGGTCTCACTGCGTTCTCCTAGAGACATAACACTGAAAACAAATTATCACTGTCATGCAGTAAACAAAACTAAACAACCCAAACTAAATACTCTCAGTCAAGGGTTAAGCTCCCCTGTGGAACACACTGAACTTCCCCATTCTCCTGCACTACCTGCCTTGTATGTCCAGGACCTTGAGTGAAGACAACCCCACAGATGAGTTGGCCTCTGCCCAAAGCAGGGTATACCCAGTTTTTCCCAATAGATTCCTTTCACACACAACAGGGCAGGCCCAGCTTGGTCGCAGATCCCCTGGTGTTAAGTATCCAAGGAGCCAAATGTTTATCCCAATTTTTTAAAGTCCCACCACCCATTGCTTTCAGGGTCTTTGTTGGTGCTTGTACTGCCCATGATGTACTGTAGTAGAAGCTGTTGGTACTTGCTGTTCCTCCACCCACATTGTGCCCACCACAGAAGCGTCATCAGAGAGACCAGGCAGGCTTTAAAATGCTTTACTAAAATCAAGATAAACCACATCTACTGCCCTGCCTTCATCTATTCACCTAGCTACTTCCTCATAGAAGGCTATAAGGTTGGTCAAAAATGACTTCCCCTTGGTAAAACCATGTTGACTGCTCTTAATGACTCCCTCATCCTCAATATGCCTAGAGATATTGTCAAGTACAAGTTGTTCCATCACCTTTCCAGGGATGGAGGTGATGCTGAGCAGTCTATAGTTACCTGGGTCCTCCTTCTTGCCCTTCTTTTAGACTGGGGTGACATTTTCTATCCTGTAGTCCTCAGGCACCTCTTCTGTTGCCCACGACTTACCAAAGATGATGAAGAGCGGCCCAGACTCATGGATTTATGGGTGTCCAGATTGCTTAACTGGTCCCTAACCCAATCCTCATCTACCAAAGCATACTCCTCCTTCATCCTGACTGGGCCTTTAGGGATCTGGAGCTACTGTTGAGAGTCTGCAGCAGTAAAGGCAGAGGCAAAGAAGGCATCAGTCCCTCTGCCTTCTTTATATCCTCTGTCACCAGGGCACTCACCTCATTCAGCAGTGGGCCTAGATTGCCTCCAGTGTTAGTTCTATCTGCAATGTAGTTGAAAAAGCCTTTTCTATTGTCTTTGACCTCACTAGCAAGGTTTATTTCCAAGAGGCCTTAGCTTTCCTTATTGCATCCCTACATGCTCTGACAACAGTCCTATATTCCTCCCAAGTGGCCAGCCCCGCCGTCCATGATCCATAGATTCTCTTTTTCCATTTGAGTTTGCCCAGTAGTTCCTTGTTTAACCATGCTGGTCTCCTAGCTCCCTTACTTGATTTCCTACCCATTGGGACACTCCGATCCTGAGTTTGCAAGAAGTGGACCAACTATCTTGAGCCTCATTATCACCTAGTACCATTTCCCATGTGATTTCCCTTAAATGATTGAAGAGGCCAAAATTGGCCCTGCCCTGGTCCTGCTATGTGTTCTGTTCCTCCCACACAGGATCCTCCACCATGTCATGATCACTGCAGCCAAGGTTGCCACTGACCGTCACCACTTCAACCAGACCCTTCTTGTTGGTGAGCACAAGATCCAGCAGCGCTCCTCTCCTAGTGTGTTTGTCCACCATTTGTATCACCGATGTGTTGGAGGAACCTCCTAGACTGTAAATGGCTAGATGTGTAGGCCTTCCAGCAAATATCTGGGTAGTTAAATTCCCTCATGAGGACTATGGCCTGTAGTTTTGATGCTGCTTTCAGTTGTTTGTAGAAAGCCTCATCAAGGCTTCTTTAACATGGCCTGACTGCATCTCAGCTCATCAGGGCTTACCGTAGGTGACCTCCTGGACTGCCAGCTCTCTCAGATAGGTAATAACTCTTTCTACGGTGTCCACCTACTGGGGTGGCATTCAGTGTCCTCCCTGTGGGGATATTGGCTTTTGACAGCCATTAAAAGGCGGTGCCAGAGCCTGTAAGTACCATTTTTCCTCCCAATCATCTTATTGATGCCTGTATCTCTGGCTATCAATCCCAACTGCAGAGCCTCCCCACCCTCCACATCTATCCCGTCATCTCCCAAGTCCTAACACTGCAACAGCCATTAAATCAGTGGCTTGTCCTCCCTATGTGTATAATCCTTTCTTACATCCCTTAACTCTTTCATGGACAAAGACTTAACAATTGTTTCAGGGTCCGAGTCACTATCATGTGTTGTTCCTGCCTCAGCCCGACCTTCTCTATACCCAGCGTCTGCCCCTTCCCCCAAAGAACTGAGCAGACAGAACTTTTGTCCCACCGAGTCATTCAAGGCTGCCAGGCAAGATACCCCAAATTGACCTCATCACAGTCTGAGCTGACCTTTGGCTTTTACTTTTCCCTCCTTCCCCCTCCCAAGCTCCTTTCTTTGATCGTCCTCATCCACTCTTTGACAAACAGCCCAGCTCTGCTCTTTTCCCACTGGTCCTGGCTTTGCTTGGTGCCCTTTATTACACAAGGGCACAAGGATGTTTCTAATGTGCTTTTCATGCTGATTCCAACATGGGACAAGACAAAACTAGTAAAGCCTTTTATTTCCTGAGTGCCCTGCAACTCCTCAGGCTGTTACCTGAGTTACAGAGTTACCTGTTCCTACACAGCGACTGTCTATGTGCAAGCATTAAGAGCTGACCAAGTGGAGCTTCAGTCCAGGGGGCCTTAAGGAACTCTGGGATTAGCCCAGAGGGCCTATCACATCCTGGGGCTGCATCAAAAAAGTGTGGCCAGCAGGGCAAGGGAGGTGATTCTCCCCCTCTACTCTGCTCTGGTGACACCACACCTAGAAGCTGTGTCCAGCTCTGGAGCCCTCAGCACAGGAGAGACATGGAGCTGTTGGAGAAGGTCCACAAAGATGATCAAAGGTCTGGAGAACCTTTGCTATGAAGACAGGCTGAGAGAGTTGGGGCTATTCAGCCTGGTGAGCAGAAGGCTCTGGGGAGACTTACAGAGACTTTCTAGTGCCTAAATGAGGCTTACAGGAAAGATGAGGAGAGATTTTTCATCAGAGAGTGTAGTGATAGGACAAGGGGAGTTGGTTTTACAGCGAAAGAGAGTAGATTTATGTTAAATATTAAGAAGAAATTCTTCACCATGAGGGTAGGAAGACACTGGAATAGGTTGCTGGGGGGAGCTTGTGGAAGTCCCCTCCCTGGAGGTGTTCAAGGCCAGGTTGGATGAGGCTTGTGCAGCCTGGTCTAGTGGGAGGTGCCCCTGCTCATAGCAGGGAAGTTGGAACTTGATGATCTTTAAGGTCCCTTCCAACCTTAACTATTTTATAATTCTGTGATTCAGTAAACAGAAACCTCTGAAGTTTTACAAGGGGAAGTGGTCAGCCCTGCATGGGGAGGTGGGATAGGGGAGAAGAATCAGCCCATGTTCAGGGAAGCTCACCAGCTCAGCAGTGATGAAAAGAGCATGGGTAGGGGAATCTGAAGGACACCATATGAGCTGGTGGTTCAAGCTCACTTTGAACAGACCAGCTGCACAGGGAGATGTTTTCAGAGGAGCATGCCCACATGAAGACATCTGGAGTCTTCATCCCCCTTCAGTGAGCCATGGTGTGGCCACACATGGACTCTTGTCTCTCAGTGAGAGTTTCTGCTCTATCCTGGTGGGGACAAACAACAGAATTCCCAGAGGAGGTCCACAAATGTCTTGAACTTAAGGCCCCATAGCCTATCTTTGCTCACCACTTCCATCCCAACAAAGCCCCAGGAACATGCTGTCTGTCCTTGCAGAACAACCGTGCTCTCCAGGAAGTGCCAGATGCCCCTCCCAGAGGATAGGTGTCTCCAGTGTCACCTCTGGGAAAGCCCTGGGACATCCCTCGACAACATTCACCATCTTACCTGTCAGTGACCAATTGGCGAATCTTAAATCCAGTCCTTTATCTCTAAAAGATTAGAAAGATGACTCATATTTATTGCTCTTGAACATATATAGGAAGAGGGACTCCAGTGGTGCAGTTCCTGAGGCTATTTTGGAGAAAGAACCTGGCATGAAAACCCTGCACCAGGGAGATCTCACTTTAGTACAGAGATGCTATGAAACAGGTGAGCTCTGAGACAGTGCTGGAAAAAAAGGTATCAAAAAAATGAGATAACAGAAAGCAGGGACAAGTCTCAGGTGTAGTGATGCAAATGCAAACACTTGTGTAGGAACATAACAATAAGAAGCAACATCAGTAATGATAAATACATGGATGACAAAAAGAAAAAATATAAAACCCAGACAGAGAAAGAAAGATGGAACCAAATGTTGTGGAAGTCATTTCTGGAGGGAGGGGGCAAATTTTTCACACTTTAAAAATGTCCATGGAATTAATTTCCTAATAGCATTTTTGAGATCCTGGTTCCTCATGCTGTAGATGAGGAGGTTGACTGCTGGAGGCACCACTGAGTACAAAATTGCCACCACCAGGTCCAAGGATGGGGAGGAGATGGAGAGGGGTTTCAGATGGGCAAACATGGCAGTGCTGGCAAGCAGGGAGACCACAGCCAGGTGAGGGAGGCAGGTGGAAAAGGCTTTGTACCTTCCCTGCTGAGAGGGGATCCTCAGCACAGCCCTGAAGATCTGCACATAGGATATCACCATGAAGACAAAGCAGCCAAAAGCTAGCAAACAACTAAATATGAGAGGCCCAACTTCCCTGAGGTAGGAGTGTGAGCAGGAGAGCTTGAGGATCTGGGGGATTTCACAGAAGAACTGTCCCAAGACATTGCCCGGGCAGAGGGGCAGTGAAAATGTACTGGCTGTGAGCAGCAAAGCATTGAGAAACCCAGTGGCCCAGGCAGCTGCTGCCATGTGGACACAAGCTCTGCTGCCCAGGAGGGTCCCGTAGTGAAGGGGGCTGCAGATGGCCACGTAGCGGTCATAGCAGATGATGGTGAGAAGGCACCACTCTGCTCCAATGAAGGACATAAGTAGAAAGACCTGTGCAGCACATGCTGAGTAGGAGATGGCCCTGGTGTCCCAGAGGGAATTGGCCATGGACTTGGGGAGGGTGGTGGAGATGCAGCCCAGGTCGAGCAGGGAGAGGTTGAGCAGGAAGAAGTACATGGGGGTGTGGAGGTGGTGGTCCCAGGCGATGGTGCTGATGATGAGGCCGTTGCCCAGGAGGGCAGCCAGGTAGATGCCCAGGAAGAGCCAGAAGTGCAGGAGCTGCAGCTCCCGCCTGTCTGCGAATGCCAGGAGGAGGAACTGGGTGATGGAGCTGCTGTTCAACATCTGCTGTCTCTGGGCAATGGAGACACATGCCCAGAAGAAAAGACAGGGTGAAATTAGGGCAAAATTCTCAAAAATTTCTACTTACTTGCTCCTAGAGACCCAGAGACAGTCTCTTTACTTTCACAAAGCTGTGAGCTCTGCAAGAGTCAGTTCTGCCTTACAGCAATAGGGAAACAGAAACATGGTGGGATCTCATCAAATCCTCTCCTGACTTTCAAGAGCCTTGTCACTTCCAACTCACCCAACTGCAGAGCAGAAATGAAAGGATTTGGGGTTGTTTCTTCTCTTCTAGTTTCCCCCACTACACCTGAAGAGAGTTTTTAAGGCAGAAGCCCTTGGCATTTCTGCTGTTTTCCAAGTGAAACCTTGTTGAGTCACCAGAGGCAAAGGGACCATCCCTTAGTTCAGAGTGAGGACAGCCAGTGTGTGCATCAGTCCTGCTCTCAGCTGCCCTGTGCTGGCACCTTTTTGAGCTGGGGGAAAATCGCAATTTGGTTTCCATCAGTTGAAGGGGTGGGGACCTGTATTAGGTGGGAGAGCAGGGCGTAGCTCCAGGGAAGGCATCAGCCCTGCAGGGATGGCAGGAAGGTGTCCAGATCCCCCTTTCCCATGACTTGCAGGCAGCAGCTCCCTCTCCATCTCTGCCCATGTCTCTGCTGCTTGGAGCTACCTCTGCCTGGAGCTACTTCTGTTCCTTTCTGTACCCTCCTCAACAGTGATCCCAGAGCCCATCTCACCCTCTCTCTGCTCAGCTTTGCCTTGAAAACCCTGCCTGCAGCAGGGACCTACCCAGGGGTATCTCTGGGTGTGCAGGAGCTCAGGAGAAACTCAGACAAGACCCAGTTACAACTAGAGTCTTGGTACATTCTGCAGATAAGAGAAGTAAAATCTCATCTATCCTTGTCCACCCAGCCCACCAAGAGTGGAGAACTCATAGCACATACTCTTTTCTTCCTGGTAACTTCTGCCTCTCTCTGCTGCTTCAAAGAGACACTCTACAAATGTCCTGGGGGTGGTCTGGTGCTGTGAGCAGTCCTGACCCACACAGCACCCTCTCAAAAGCAGAAGGACCCTGCCCTTTCCTTCCCTGCCAAGGGTCACTCCTTCCATCTTCAGCTTCTCCCCACAGTACCATGGGGAGCTCTCCAGGCTGGCTAAGAGCTGACCCTGGAAGGCAGCACAGTCCCTGCCTCAGCACACAGCCCCTCAGCTGCAAGACCTGGTCCTGAAGGACAGCCCTAGGCACTCCTGCCTGCGCATCCACCTGAACAGCTACCCTAAATTCTGCAAATAGATCTCCCTCCAACTCCCCCCCATCTTCCAGATCCCATAAACTGTGGCTATGCCAGCTTAGGAGATGCCTCCAGGAACTGCACTCATAATCCCCTGCACCCACAGACTCACCATGCCACACATGCCCAGAAGAAAAGACAGGGTGAAATTAGGGCAAAATTCTCAAAAATTTCTACTTACTTGCTCCTAGAGACCCAGAGACAGTCTCTTTACTTTCACAAAGCTGTGAGCTCTGCAAGAGTCAGTTCTGCCTTACAGCAATAGGGAAACAGAAACATGGTGGGATCTCATCAAATCCTCTCCTGACTTTCAAGAGCCTTGTCACTTCCAACTCACCCAACTGCAGAGCAGAAATGAAAGGATTTGGGGTTGTTTCTTCTCTTCTAGTTTCCCCCACTACACCTGAAGAGAGTTTTTAAGGCAGAAGCCCTTGGCATTTCTGCTGTTTTCCAAGTGAAACCTTGTTGAGTCACCAGAGGCAAAGGGACCATCCCTTAGTTCAGAGTGAGGACAGCCAGTGTGTGCATCAGTCCTGCTCTCAGCTGCCCTGTGCTGGCACCTTTTTGAGCTGGGGGAAAATCGCAATTTGGTTTCCATCAGTTGAAGGGGTGGGGACCTGTATTAGGTGGGAGAGCAGGGCGTAGCTCCAGGGAAGGCATCAGCCCTGCAGGGATGGCAGGAAGGTGTCCAGATCCCCCTTTCCCATGACTTGCAGGCAGCAGCTCCCTCTCCATCTCTGCCCATGTCTCTGCTGCTTGGAGCTACCTCTGCCTGGAGCTACTTCTGTTCCTTTCTGTACCCTCCTCAACAGTGATCCCAGAGCCCATCTCACCCTCTCTCTGCTCAGCTTTGCCTTGAAAACCCTGCCTGCAGCAGGGACCTACCCAGGGGTATCTCTGGGTGTGCAGGAGCTCAGGAGAAACTCAGACAAGACCCAGTTACAACTAGAGTCTTGGTACATTCTGCAGATAAGAGAAGTAAAATCTCATCTATCCTTGTCCACCCAGCCCACCAAGAGTGGAGAACTCATAGCACATACTCTTTTCTTCCTGGTAACTTCTGCCTCTCTCTGCTGCTTCAAAGAGACACTCTACAAATGTCCTGGGGGTGGTCTGGTGCTGTGAGCAGTCCTGACCCACACAGCACCCTCTCAAAAGCAGAAGGACCCTGCCCTTTCCTTCCCTGCCAAGGGTCACTCCTTCCATCTTCAGCTTCTCCCCACAGTACCATGGGGAGCTCTCCAGGCTGGCTAAGAGCTGACCCTGGAAGGCAGCACAGTCCCTGCCTCAGCACACAGCCCCTCAGCTGCAAGACCTGGTCCTGAAGGACAGCCCTAGGCACTCCTGCCTGCGCATCCACCTGAACAGCTACCCTAAATTCTGCAAATAGATCTCCCTCCAACTCCCCCCCATCTTCCAGATCCCATAAACTGTGGCTATGCCAGCTTAGGAGATGCCTCCAGGAACTGCACTCATAATCCCCTGCACCCACAGACTCACCATGCCAAGGGCTGCACAGATGTCTCCTCCACTGAGCTCTCAATCATGCCCCCAGTCCTGGCCACCTTTAAACTCTCCTTGCCTTGCTCATCTCCCTCAGATCCCCTGGCAGTGTCCTTCTCTCTGCTGCACCAAGCAGAGGAGCTGTTCCTGGGCAGATCTGTCTCTCTGCAGCACTGCCCACTTGCCAGCAGCTCTCTCCATCCCAGGAGCCCAGCTCAGAACGTTAATGAGCCCTCTGGAGGCTTTGGTGCTGAGTCCACGAAGCTGAGACAGGGAGAGGAAGCTGATGAAACCTCTCCAGAAGTCCAAATGTGAGTCCAATTGCAAAGTTTCTGGCAGTGTTAATGGGTCCCAGTGAGGGACACAAGTGAGGAAGGGTCCCCAGGGTGTGGGTAGAGCAGGAAAGAGGTGGCAGGGATGGCAGGTGGGGAAGAGGAAGGTGAATGTTGCTCCGGTGCTGAGTGGCCCTGCATGTATTTCATGACTGCAAAGGGCCCAGCCCCGTTCTCCCTCACCAAAGGTGCCAGCCCTGTCCCCCAGCCCCTGGGAAGGGAAATCCTGTCCCTCACTCACCCCTCAGAGCTCTCCACAGGGCACTGGGATGTGGAGATGTGCAATGGCAAGGGCAGGTCCAGCGCATGACACTTCTGCCAGATCACTCAGCCCCCTTGGGTGGATCCATGTGGCCCCGTAGCCTTGTGTGTATCTAAGTGGTGCAGCAGGTCACTGACCATCTCCTCTTGGATGATGGGGGCTCCATTCTGCTTCCCATCCCTGTCTTCCAGCTAAGGGGGCTGCGTACCCAGTAAACAACTGGTCCTGCTGCTAAAGAATGAGGCAAAGAAGGCATGAAAAACCTCAGCTTTCTCCTTCTCTCTGACCACTGTTTCTCCTCACATCCAATAAAGGACAGACATTCTCGTCAGTCCTCTTTTTGTTCTTAATATATTTGTAGCAGCATTTCTTGTCATCTTTGGTATCTGGAGCTAGGTTCATTTCAAGTTGGTCTTTGGCCCTTCTGATATTCCTCGTGCACATCCTCACAGCATCTTTCTGGTCCCCCTCATTGTCCTACCTCTTTGTCCCAGGGTCGTAAACTCTCCTTTTTTTCCTGAATTGACACCAGGTCTCTCCATTCAGTCAGGCTGGGCTGCTTCCCACTGCCTTGACTTTTTGCTCAGGGGCCCTGCCTGCTCCTTTGCATTTCAGACTTCCTTCTTGCAGCCTTTCTGAGGAAGGGTAGAGAGGAGGACCCTGGGAACTAGTGACCTCTCAGCCTACCCTCTGTACCTGGGAAAAGCATGGAACAGATCCTCCTAGAAACTGTGCCAAGGCCCATGGAGGACAGGGAGCTGACTGGAGACAGCCAGCATGGCTTCACCAAGGGCAAATCCTGCCTGGACAGCCTGGGGGCTTTCTGGGGTAGAGTGACTACATCAGTTGACAAGGGAAGAGCTATAGGTGTTACCTCCTGGACTTCTGTGAGGCCTTTGACACAATCCTCCACAACATCATTCTCTTTAAATTGGAGAGAGATGGATTGGATGGGTGGAGGGTGCACTGGATGAGGAATTGGTTGGATGATCACATCCAGAGGGTAGTGGTCAATGGCTTAATGTGGTCACTACACGAGAGGGTTGGGATGCCATCCAGCTGGACCCAGACAAGCTCCAGAAGTGGGCTCATTTTAACATCACAGTGTTGAAGACAGCCAAGTCCACCTGGGTCTGTTCAGCCACTGGTATCAATAGAGGCTGGAGATGAAGTGTCTGAGAGCATCCACAAGATGAAAGGCTTGGGGGTACTTCCTGGTGGAAGAAAAGCTGCATGATGAGCAGGCAATGGGTGCTGGCAGCCCAGAAAGCCAACTGTGTCCTGGGCTGCATCACCAGCAGCATGACAGCTGGTCAAGGGAGGGGATTGTCCTCCTCTGCTCTTGTGGGGAACAGTCTCTCTTCTTCCCCCCACAAAAGACTAAACAACAAATGCCTTTCAAGTCAGCAAAACAAGAGTGACACCTTTTCACTGATTCACTCAAAGACAGAATGAGCAGGCCTCTTGCCCTACCAGATAAGTGCATAGCAAAGAAGCAGCATAAGAGTTATAATAAGTGGCAGAAAAATAGACAATAGGTTAAAGACTGCCTCTAACGGAATATGTACCTGGCCAGTGGTGGTTGGTTAATTCAGACAGTGGTACTTTTTG